GTGGATTAACCCGAGAAGGAAGTTCCTAGCGCGCACACATTGATCTGTCCAAAAGCTATGAAGCCTTGAGAAGTTGAAGCACAAGGGATCACTTTGAGGCAAGAGAAACCAAGGAGTGAATTGCGGAAGAGGGCTTAGGACTCAGAAATTTGATGGGTTTGAATCTTACCACATGAGACAAATTTGAAGGCTATAAGGGTGAAAGAAGCCAAGCAACAAAGTGCCAATGCACAAAGCTAAAAATGAAAGATGCAAGGTGGACACTCGTTCCTTCAAGTCTTGTACACATGGGTGTGGATTCAGATCTGGCAAAGCATAAGACAAGCAACTAGGCCTTAGGAATCTTAGTTTGAAGCTCCAAGGTGGATTAACCCGAGAAGGAAGTTCCTAGCGCGCACACACTGATCTGTCCAAAAGCTATGAAGCCTTGAGAAGTTGAAGCACAAGGGATCACTTTGTGGCAAGAGAAACCAAGGAGTGAATTGCGGAAGAGGGCTTAGGACTAAGAAATTTGATGGGTTTGAATCTTACCACATGAGACAAATTTGAAGGCTATAAGGGTGAAAGAAGCCAAGCAACAAAGTGCCAATGCACAAAGCTAAAAATGAAAGATGCAAGGTGGACACTCGTTCCTTCAAGTCTTGTACACATGGGTGTGGATTCAGATCTGGCAAAGCATAAGACAAGCAACTAGGCCTTAGGAATCTTAGTTTGAAGCTCCAAGGTGGATTAACCCGAGAAGGAAGTTCCTAGCGCGCACACATTGATCTGTCCAAAAGCTATGAAGCCTTGAGAAGTTGAAGCACAAGGGATCACTTTGAGGCAAGAGAAACCAAGGAGTGAATTGCGGAAGAGGGCTTAGGACTAAGAAATTTGATGGGTTTGAATCTTACCACATGAGACAAATTTGAAGGCTATAAGGGTGAAAGAAGCCAAGCAACAAAGTGCCAATGCACAAAGCTAAAAATGAAAGATGCAAGGTGGACACTCGTTCCTTCAAGTCTTGTACACATGGGTGTGGATTCAGATCTGGCAAAGCATAAGACAAGCAACTAGGCCTTAGGAATCTTAGTTGGAAGCTCCAGCCAGATCTGAATCCACACCCATGTGTACAAGACTTGAAGGAACGAGTGTCCACCTTGCATCTTTCTTTCTTTTTTAGCTTTGTGCATTGGCACTTTGTTGATTGGCTTCTTTCACCCTAATAGCCTTCAAATTTGTCTCATTTGGTAAGATTCAAACCCATCAAATTTATGAGTCCTAAGCCCTCTTCCGCAATTCACTCCTTGGTTTCTCTTGCCTCAAATTGATCCCTTGTGCTTCAACTTCTCAAGGCTTCATCGCTTTTGGAAAGATCAGTGTGGGCGCGCTAGGAACTTCCTTCTCGGGTTAATCCACCTTGGAGCTTCAAACTAAGATTCCTAAGGCCTAGTTGCTTGTCACATGATTTGCCAGATCTGAATCCACACCCATGTGTACAAGACTTGAAGGAACGAGTGTCCACCTTGCATCTTTCATTTTTAGCTTTGTGCATTGGCACTTTGTTGCTTGGCTTCTTTCACCCTTATAGCCTTCAAATTTGTCTTATGTGGTAAGATTCAAACCCATCAAATTTATGAGTTCTAAGCCCTCTTCCGTAATTCACTCCTTGGTTTCTCTTCTTACCTCAAAGTGATCCCTTGTGCTTCAACTTCTCAAGGCTTCATCGCCTTTAGAAAGATCAACGTGTGCGCGCGCTAGGAACTTCCTTCTCGGGTTAATCCACCTTGGAGCTTCAAACTAAGATTCCTAAGTCCTAGATGCTTGTCACATGCTTTGCCAGATCTGAATCCACACCCATGTGTACAAGACTTGAAGGAACGAGTGTCCACCTTGCATCTTTCTTTCTTTTTTAGCTTTGTGCATTGGCACTTTGTTGATTGGCTTCTTTCACCCTAATAGCCTTCAAATTTTTCTCTTGCGGTAAGATTCAAACCCATCAAATTTCTGAGTCTTAAGCCCTCTTCCGCAATTCACTCCTTGGTTTCTCTTGCCTCAAAGTGATCCCTTGTGCTTCAACTTCTCAAGGCTTCATCGCTGTTGGAAAGATCAGTGTGTGCGCGCTAGGAACTTCTTTCTCGGGTTAATCCACCTTGGAGCTTCAAACTAAGATTCCTAAGGCCTAGTTGCTTATCTCATGCTTTGCCAGATCTGAATCCACACCCATGTGTACAAGACATGAAGGAACGAGTGTCCACCTTGCATCATTCATTTTTAGCTTTGTGCATTGGCACATTGTTGCTTGGCTTCTTTCACCCTTATAGCCTTCAAATTTGTCTCATGTGGTAAGATTCAAACCCATCAAATTTATGAGTCCTAAGCCCTCTTCCGCAATTCACTCCTTGGTTTCTCTTCTTGCCTCAAAGTGATCCCTTGTGCTTCAACTTCTCAAGGCTTCATCGCCTTTAGAAAGATCAGTGTGTGCGCGCTAGGAACTTCCTTCTCGGGTTAATCCACCTTGGAGCTTCAAACTAAGATTCCTAAGTCGTAGTTGCTTGTCACATGCTTTGCCAAATCTGAATCCACACCCATGTGTACAAGACTTGAAGGAACGAGTGTCCACCTTGCATCTTTCATTTTGTTTTAGCTTTGTGCATTGGCACTTTGTTGATTGGCTTCTTTCACCCTAATAGCCTTCAAATTTTTCTCTTGCGGTAAGATTCAAACCCATCAAATTTATGAGTCTTAAGCCCTATTCCGCAATTCACTCCTTGGTTTCTCTTGCCTCAACGTGATCCCTTGTTCTTCAAGTTCTCAAGACTTCTTTAGCTTTTGGACAGATCAATGTGTGCGCGCTAGGAACTTCCTTCTCGGGTTAATCCACCTTGGAGCTTCAAACTAAGATTCCTAAGTCCTAGTTGCTTGTCACATGCTTTGCCAGATCTGAATCCACACCCATGTGTACAAGACTTGAAGGAACGAGTGTCCACCTCGCATCTTTCAATTTTTTTTAGCTTTGTGCATTGGCACTTTGTTGATTGGCTTCTTTCACCCTAATAGCCTTCAAATTTGTCTCATGTGGTAAGATTCAAACCCATCAAATTTATGAGTCCTAAGCCCTCTTCCGCAATTCACTCCTTGGTTTCTCTTCTTGCCTCAAAGTGATCCCTTGTGCTTCAACTTCTCAAGGCTTCATCGCCTTTGGAAAGATCAGTGTGTGCGCGCTAGGAACTTCCTTCTCGGGTTAATCCACCTTGGAGCTTCAAACTAAGATTCCTAAGTCCTAGTTGCTTGTCACATGCTTTGCCAGATCTGAATCCACACCCATGTGTACAAGACTTGAAGGAACGAGTGTCCACCTTGCATCTTTCATTTTTAGCTTTGTGCATTGGCACTTTGTTGCTTGGCTTCTTTCACCCTTATAGCCTTCAAATTTGTCTCATGTGGTAAGATTCAAACCCATCAAATTTATGAGTCCTAAGCCCTCTTCCGCAATTCACTCCTTGGTTTCTCTTCTTGCCTCAAAGTGATCCCTTGTGCTTCAACTTCTCAAGGCTTCATCGCCTTTAGAAAGATCAGTGTGTGCGCGCTAGGAACTTCCTTCTCGAGTTAATCCACCTTGGAGCTTCAAACTAAGATTCCTAAGTCCTAGTTGCTTGTCACATGCTTTGCCAGATCTGAATCCACACCCATGTGTACAAGACTTGAAGGAACGAGTGTCCACCTTGCATCTTTCATTTTGTTTTAGCTTTGTGCATTGGCACTTTGTTGATTGGCTTCTTTCACCCTAATAGCCTTCAAATTTGTCTCATGTGGTAAGATTCAAACCCATCAAATTTATGAGTCCTAAGCCCTCTTCCGCAATTCACTCCTTGGTTTCTCTTCTTGCCTCAAAGTGATCCCTTGTGCTTCAACTTCTCAAGGCTTCATCGCCTTTGGAAAGATCAGTGTGTGCGCGCTAGGAACTTCCTTCTCGGGTTAATCCACCTTGGAGCTTCAAACTAAGATTCCTAAGTCCTAGTTGCTTGTCACATGCTTTGCCAGATCTGAATCCACACCCATGTGTACAAGACTTGAAGGAACGAGTGTCCACCTTGCATCTTTCATTTTTAGCTTTGTGCATTGGCACATTGTTGCTTGGCTTCTTTCACCCTTATAGCCTTCAAATTTGTCTCATGTGGTAAGATTCAAACCCATCAAATTTATGAGTCCTAAGCCCTCTTCCGCAATTCACTCCTTGGTTTCTCTTCTTGCCTCAAAGTGATCCCTTGTGCTTCAACTTCTCAAGGCTTCATCGCCTTTAGAAAGATCAGTGTGTGCGCGCTAGGAACTTCCTTCTCGAGTTAATCCACCTTGGAGCTTCAAACTAAGATTCCTAAGTCCTAGTTGCTTGTCACATGCTTTGCCAGATCTGAATCCACACCCATGTGTACAAGACTTGAAGGAACGACTTTCCACCTTGCATCTTTCATTTTTTTTTTAGCTTTGTGCATTGGCACTTTGTTGATTGGCTTCTTTCACCCTAATAGCCTTCAAATTTGTGTCATGCGGTAAGATTCAAACCAATCAAATTTCTGAGTCCTAAGCCCTCTTCCGCAATTCACTCCTTGGTTTCTCTTGCCTCAAAGTGATCCCTTGTGCTTCAACTTCTCAAGGCTTCATCGCCTTTGGAAAGATCAGTGTGTGCGCGCTAGGAACTTCCTTCTCGGGTTAATCCACCTTGGAGCTTCAAACTAAGATTCCTAAGTCCTAGTTGCTTGTCACATGCTTTGCCAGATCTGAATCCACACCCATGTGTACAAGACTTGAAGGAACGAGTGTCCACCTTGCATCTTTCATTTTTAGCTTTGTGCATTGGCACTTTGTTGATTGGCTTCTTTCACCCTTATAGCCTTCAAATTTGTCTTCATGTGGTAAGATTCAAACCCATCAAATTTATGAGTCCTAAGCCCTCTTCCGCAATTCACTCCTTGATTTCTCTTCTTGCCTCAAAGTGATCCCTTGTGCTTCAACTTCTCAAGGCTTCATCGCCTTTAGAAAGATCAGTGTGTGCATACACTGGGATCTTCGTAAAGTTGATAATTATGAGTGTTACGAGGAATTTGATTGGGAAGTTCAATGGCAAAAAGAAGGAGATTCATTAGCTCGTTATTTAGTTCGAATTGGTGAAATGATGGAATCCATAAAAAGGCCATATGAAAATTTAGAAATCCGATGCTTTGATAGAGAAAGGAAATCAGAATGGAATGATTTTGAATATCGATTCATTAGTAAAAAACCGTCTCCTACTTTTGAATTGTCAAAACAAGAACTTTATGTAAGAGTTGAGTCCCCGAAGGGGGAATTGGGAATTTTTCTAATAGGGGATCAGAATGGTTTTCCTTGGAGATGGAAAATTCGCCCACCAGGTTTTATCAATTTGCAAATTCTTCCGCAATTAGTTAAAAGAATGAAATTGGCTGATATTATGACAATACTAGGTAGCATAGATATCATTATGGGAGAAGTTGATCGTTGAAATGATAATTGATACATCAGAAATACAAGATATCGATTCTTTTTCCAGAGTGGCGTATTTAAAGGAGGTCTGTGGAATTCTGTGGGTATTTGCCCCCATTTTTCTTCTTGTATTGGGAATCACAATAAGTGTACTAGCAATTGTATGGTTAGAAAGAGAAATATCTGCAGGTATACAACAGCGTATTGGACCTGAATACGCCGGCCCTTTTGGAGTTCTTCAAGCTCTAGCAGACGGAACAAAACTGCTTTTCAAAGAGAATATCATTCCATCAAGAGGGGATATTCGTTTATTTAGTATTGGACCGTCCATATCAGTCATATCAATTCTAATAAGTTATTCAGTAATTCCTTGGGGGTATAATTTTATTGTATCTGATCTCAATATAGGTGTTTTTTTATGGATTGCTATTTCGAGTATTGCTCCCATTGGACTTCTTATGTCAGGATATGGGTCAAATAATAAATATTCCTTTTTGGGGGGTCTGCGAGCTGCTGCTCAATCAATTAGTTATGAAATACCATTAACTCTATGTGTGTTATCAATATCTCTACGTGCGATTCGTTGATACATAAACTTTTTGATACTATTGCCATACTCCTCGCTTTTTAGTACTTTACTTTATAGCAAAATAGCAAAGGGGTTGAATAAATCGAGAATAGATATATGAATTTTCATTATTTTTATTCGGAATTCGGGTTGAAGAAATAAATCAGATAGTTATATGAGTGAAATAAAACGGCTTTTATTGAGTAGAATTTACAAATACTTTATTCCTTATTGCTATGGTATTATTTAGTACCGTGGTATTATTGAGTACCGTAGTTAATAGATAGTATGCTGATTTGAAATTGCAGTAAAAATATTGAATCTCATTTTTTATGTATAAGAATGAAGTGAAATATCTCTATATATAAGCGTAAGAATCCGTTTATCCCAAGATTTGGTGATTAGTTATCCTGTCTTGAAGCGGGGTCAAAAGAGCAACCTTATTGAGTTTTCGCTACCGTTTGTATTAAGTAGCATACGTGTATTAACATAAATAAGGGGGTGAATCAAAAAAAAGTGGATGGTTAGAAACACCAAGATACACAAAGGATTAGTAACGCAGATTTTGTAAATAATGCAAAAGAACATTTACACATAATAGAAAAAGAATACTAATCGGGGCTTTAAGTCGGTAGAAAAAATGAGGCAGTACTCCCTACAATTCCGATCCAGAGTATGCTCCTATCCGCTGATTAAATAAATAACTATCAGGAACGAAATAATCCTTTAATTTTATTAAGTATCCCTTTACTTGCAAAAAATGAAGAAGAAAAGGAACGAAGAAAATGGAAAGAAAAAAAAGGGGGGGTCTCCCCCCCCCCCCCCTTTTTTTTCTTTTTTTTTTTATCCATATTCATAGAGATAGAATTCATGTCATAATTAAAGAACTAATGTGTAATTCTTTTTCGTAATCAAAAACGATGGGAGGTTATTGATAATTCTAGAAGAGTTTTTTATTTAAAAATTAGGTTATTACTCAATAAATTCAAATTTTTATTTTTAAAGGATGAGATCAATTCAGAAGTACCTTTTGTTTTTTTTTTATTAAAATAGATTTATCTTTATTATTAGAACATAATTATTAGAACATAATTTAGAACAGACAGAATTGAATTGGTCTAATTCAGAATCGTCCGATAGATTGGAATCTTATATATCTTAGGGATATATCAAGAAAAAAATAATCGTCCCGATCCTTAGATTTATTTTAGGCTTTCGAGGAGCCGTATGAGGTGAAAATCTCATGTACGGTTCTGTAATAGAGATGAGAACAGTAATGTTCTCACCGACTAGGATTATCTAATAGTTTAAGTACAGTTGATATTGTTGATACACAATCAAAATATGGTTTTTGGGGGTGGAATTTGTGGCGTCAACCTATGGGTTTCATCGTTTTTCTAATTTCTTCCCTGGCGGAATGTGAAAGATTACCCTTTGATTTACCAGAAGCAGAAGAAGAATTAGTAGCGGGTTATCAAACCGAATATTCGGGTATCAAATTTGGTTTATTTTACGTTGCTTCCTATTTAAACCTTTTAATTTCTTCATTATTTGTAACAACTCTTTACTTGGGTGGTTCAAATATATCCATTCCGTACATCTTTTTTTCTGATTTTTTTGAAATAAATAAACCATATGGGATTTTTGGAATTACAATAGGTATCTTTATTACACTAGCTAAAACTTATTTGTTTTTGTTCATTTCTATCACAACAAGATGGACTTTACCTAGGCTAAGAATGGATCAATTATTAAATCTTGGGTGGAAGTTTCTTTTACCTATCTCTCTCGGAAATCTATTATTAACAACCTCGTCTCAACTATTTTCACTGTAACAGATTGATTGATCTTCTATATTCAAACCTTGTCTTAAACAAGAGAAAGAAATAAAAATATATTCATAGATATTCACGATATGTTCCTTATAGTAACTGGGTTTATGAATTATGGTCAACAAACAATCCGAGCCACAAGGTACATTGGTCAAAGTTTGATGATTACCTTATCCCACACAAATCGTTTACCCGTAACAATTCAATATCCTTATGAAAAATTAATCACGTCAGAACGTTTTCGCGGTCGAATCCATTTTGAATGATAAATGCATTGCTTGTGAAGTATGTGTTCGTGTATGTCCTATAGATCTACCTGTTGTTGATTGGAAACTTGAAGCTGATATTCGAAAGAAACGATTGTTTAATTACAGTATTGATTTTGGAATATGTATATTTTGTGGTAACTGTATTGAGTATTGTCCAACAAATTGTTTATCAATGACTGAAGAATATGAACTTTCGACTTATGATCGCCACGAATTGAATTATAATCAAATTGCTTTGGGCCGTTTACCAACACAAGTGATTGACGATTATACAATTCGAACAATTCAAATCAAATAAGATTATTTAGAATTAAGAATTCTATAATTAATAATAAATTATTATAGAAAATCATATAAATCAAATAATATTATATATAAAGAAAATCGAATAATTTAAATTTGAAGAATTTTTTTATTCTTCAAAAAGAAATAAAAAATTGGATTCGATATTATTATAGAAATAGATTCTATCGATAGACATCTACTTTAGTTTTAGTACAGTTTCTATTATGTTTTCGCATAAAGAATGAAATATCATCGGTGCTCTAACTGTACCTACATTAATTAACACCCCTAAATATTTGAGTATTGGATTCAATTCAATGCAAATCGAAATGGAGTATATTATTTTTTTTCCCGGTTGTATCAATAAGGTCATGAAATCTCGATTTATTTATCTCTTATTTTCCATATAATGGATTTGCCCGAATCGCTACATGATTTTCTTTTAGTTTTTCTGGGATCCGGTCTTGTATTAGGAAGTCTAGGAGTCGTATTACTTACCAACCCCATTTTTTCTGCTTTTTCATTGGGATTGGTTCTTGTTTGTATATCTTTATTATATATCTTATCAAACTCCCATTTTGTAGCTGCAGCACAGCTACTTATTTATGTGGGAGCTATAAACGTTTTAATCCTATTTGCTGTGATGTTCATGAATGGCTCAGAGTATTACCAAAATTTTCATCTTTGGACTGTTGGGGATGGAATTACTTTTATGATTTGTACAAGCATTTTTATTTCACTAATAACTACTCTTCCAGATACATCATGGTACGGTATTATTTGGACTACAAGATCCAATCAGATTATAGAGCAAGATTTGATAAGTACAAGTCAACAAATTGGAATTCATTTATCAACAGATTTTTTTCTTCCATTTGAGCTCATTTCAATAATTCTTTTATCGGCTTTGATAGGTGCTATTGTCGTAGCTCGCCAGTAAGAAATCTTTATAACTGACAATATAAATAAAAAATTCAATTTGATATGAATTTATCATATTTATTTCCGTTGAATTCTATGTGAGGGTGAAAGAGCGTTTGTTTGTGTAGAAAATCGTTTTTTTGATTGATTGCTGATATATTCTTTTGTTCCAGACTTGTTATATTCTTTAAGTTAATTTAATATGTTGAATTGTTATTCATATTGAATTGTTATTCATATTGAAATGAATCCAAATTGATAAGGAGTTGGTCAATGATGCTCGAACATGTACTTGTTTTGAGTGCCTATTTATTTTCTATCGGTATCTGTGGATTGATAACGAGCCGAAATATGGTTAGAGCCCTTATGTGTCTTGAACTTATACTGAATGCAGTTAATATCAATCTCGTAGCCTTTTCTGATTTTTTTGATAGTCGCCAATTAAAAGGAAATATTTTTTCAATTTTTGTTATAGCTATTGCAGCCGCTGAAGCAGCTATTGGTCCGGCTATAGTTTCCTCCATTTATCGGAACAGAAAATCAACTCGTATTAATCAATCTAATTTGTTGAATAAATAGTATTAACCACAATCAATCATGAAAAATGGAATTCAGAGTAGTATTAACGTAATATTAATCAATTAAAA